AGGTGGAGGTTGCAGTGAGCCAAGATTGCACCACTGCACTCTAGCCCAGGCAATAGAATGAGACTGTCTCAAAAAACAAAACAAAACAAACAAACAAAATACACACACACACACACACACACACACACACAAACACTGGTAGCCAGACACATTTCCAACAGAAGGGGACTGGTTACATAGATAAATAGGCTAGGGAATACTCACATAATGGAGCATCATAAAACTTGAAAAATGATGTTTTAGAATTTTTATTAAATATGCTTATAAATAATGAGAGGTTTACAAAAGAGTACATGCAGCATGATACAAAAATTCTGCAGTGTATGATTCCACTTTTGTAAGAAAATTACACCATTAGAAAAGACCGGAAGAAAAAGAAAATGTTAACAGTGATGGTCTCTGTGTGGTGTGATTACCAGTGATTTCTTTCCCAATACATTTCTGGATCAGTTTCTTTTTAAACAGTGACTGTGCAACTTTACTTTAGAAAAAAAATTTAATGTGGGTGACTCCAGGCTGGAAACAATAATCATTTGATCATTATGGTGAGTCATTAACTAACCCATGAATTAATGCAGCCTTGATTCCTACAACACTGATTAAGCATTGCCATGTGAACAGCGTTGTGTTAGGCCCCAAGGCAATGAACAGGATAGCAGGACAACCCTTCATGCCTCGGTGATCTCTGTTGAGTCAGTGTGAGCACACCCAGCAGCCTCTCTTATCCATGGGCAGCCCCTGCCGAAAAAAAAATCTGGGCATACCCGTGGTTGTGGGGTGTCAGGGGCTCATTCCTTAGAGGTGTGACAACTAGAGGAAGGTGAGTGTCACCTTTGGAAGGCCAGTGCCTATGGTTTACTTCAATTTACATAATTGCTATCCTGAAATCCAAAAATAGGACTTGATTGTGGTGTTGGAACACAGTGGGCAGGATGGAAGGAAGGCTAGCCTGGGAAAGGAGGGGAGGCCTGGGGACAGCGGGATCTGGGCCTTGGTAGATGCTGGGGTTATGCCTGGGTCGTGGTGGCAAAGGGAGGCCCTGAGTGGGCAAGGACAGAAGCTCCCTCCCTTCTGCCCTCCCTGAGGCATGAGTCTGTCCAGAGACCATCAGATTCTACCTGGTGAATCTCTGCATGCTTTTCCAGGGATGGGGGGAGATGGTTATTTTATGTCCTCCTGGCAGAGTTTAAATTCCTTGAGGACAGGAGACACATTTTGTTCATCACTGTAATCCCCTAAGGCCAAGCAGAAAATTGCTTGAATGTAATATATTCTTAGTAAATTCTGGTTGAACTGAATTAGAATATGGTGGAAGCTCTTTAATACTGATGTCAAAGCCTAAGAATAATTTATAAATTATTGGCCATGTTACCTCAGGCTATATTAAGTGCTATTTTATTTATTTTATTTTAGGTGCCATGATTTAACATACAGTAAAGCTGAATCCACACGACCATGGTCCATGACGTAAAAGTGTCAGAGGTGTGTGAACCACAGTGACTCCATTTTGAGTAGGGACTGGGTAAAATGAGGCCAAAACCTACTGGGCTGCATTCCCAGATGGTTAAAGCATTCTAAGTCACAGAATGAGATAGGAGGTCGGCACAAAATACAGGTCATAAAGATCTTGCTGATAAAACAGGTTGCAGTAAAGAAGTCAGCCAAAACCCACCAAAACCAAGATGGTAATGAGAGTGACCTCTGGTCATCCCCACTGCTACACTCCCACCAGTGCCATGACAGTTTACGAATGCCATGGCAATGTCAGGAAATTATCCTATATGATCTAAAAAGGGGAGGCATGAATAATCCACCCCTTGTTTAGCAGATAATCAAGAAATAACCACAAAAATGGGCAACCAGCAGCCCTCAGGGCTACTCTGTCTATGGAGTAGCCATTCTTTCGCTGCTTTACATTTTGCAATCTCAGCTCACTGCAAGCTCTGCCTGTTAGGTTCAAGCGACTCTCCAGCCTCAGCCTCCCGAGTAGCTGGGATTACAGGTGCACGCCACCACACCCAGCTAATTTTCGTATTTTTAGTAGAGACGGGGTTTCGCCATGTTGGCCAGGCTGGTCTCCAACTCCTGACCTCAAGTGATCCGCCCACCTCGGCCTCCCAAAGTACTGGGATTACAGGCGTGAGTCACCGCACCTGGTCTCCTTTACTTTCTTAATAAATTTGCTTTCACTTTACTCTGCTGAACTCGCCCTGAATTCTTTCTTGTGCGAGATCCAAGAACCCTCTCTAGAGGTCTGGATTGAGATTCCCTTCCTGTAACAAAAGGAAGGGACACACACAGAGATGCCCAGCACACAAGCAAAGCAGACATTTAGCACAGACACAAGCGTGATGCTGCTTAGGGAGACTTGGGGCTTCAGGGGAAAGAGACTTCTAGGCTAGGTTAAGAAGAGATGTGGCTGTCTGGATAAAGAGATGGAAGGAAAGGGCAAAGAGGATGGCATGGTCAGCACAGGAACCACAGGAAGTGAGAAAGCATTTCTGGCCATCCTTTTTTTTTTTTTTTTTTTTTGAGACAGAGTTTTGCTCTGTTGCCCAGGCTGGCGTGCAGTGGCATGATCTCGGCTCACTGCAACCTCCACCTCCCGGGTTCAAGTGATTCTCCTGTCTCGGCCTGAGTAGCTGGGACTACAGGCTGTACCACCATGCCTGGCTAATTTTTGTATTTGTCTAGCCATACTTTTTGAGTCCCTGAAACTCTCCTTTCTGGGACCTCCCAAATTCTCTTGCAGCAGCATTTTTTTTTTCCATCTGATATACCCTAATTAGGATCCATTTTCAAGATTCTAGCTGCTAGGTGGTCCTCAGACTCCCACACCTCCCTGAATTCACGAGTCCCAACAAGGAGATGGTTAGAACCCTGGCAGGCCACAGGGACCTGGCCACCCTGTACCTTCAGAGGGAACTGTTGGGTGAGTTCTGGTACGTAGGCAGCCCCAGCCTGCTTCTTGTGCAAAGACACAACCACAAAATACTCGAAGAGCTGCCTCTCCTGGTACTCGATGAGCTCCCGGGCAAGTGATGGGTACCGAGGCGCCTGCTTCAGGCGGGACTTCACGGTGACCAGGCGCTGGCTGTGAGCTGGGTGAGGAAGAGGGAGACAGAGAGAGAGAGAGAGCGCAAAGAGCCTGAAATGACCATGAGCCCATATGGAACTGTACTGAGCTGCAATAGGTTATGTAATTCTCAGCTCAAGTACTTTTTTCTAATCCCCAAAGTGCTTCTGTGTCTAACAAATTAGTAGGAAGCTCTTTACTGGGGATCTCTGCCAAAGTTCTGGGAGAAGCAACACTCAGTTGGCTACCAAATCAATCAGGGTGCAGGAGCCTGGAATCGTGGCTCTACTCTGCCATGGTTTTGCTGTCTGGACTCTGGGCAGAGGCTGAAGATGTCCCTGCCTTCATCGGTCTGATGAGGTAGGGACAGTGACTCCTCCCCTCACCCATTTCCCTCGTCTTTTGGTTTGTGTGATGTGACAGAATCCAGACTAGAGGGCTTTTGGAGCTGGGAGCTTTATAAACATCCCTTGTGACTCAACTGGCAGAGATCCCACTAACTCAGGAACTCCTGTCCACCTCCTCTTCTGTCACTGACTCTGCAATGAAATGGCCTTGCTTCATTCTAGAGGTGAGTCTGGGAGCAGCTGGGTGTCTGAGGCGAATGCAGCAGGGTCACTGAGTGGACGGGTCCCTGTCACCTCGTTCAGCAACCTGGACTTGCTGTTTTCTTCTTTTTCTTTTTCTTTTTTAGATGGAGTCTCGCTCTGTTGCCCAGGCTGAAGTGCAATGGCTCAATCTTGGCTCACTGCAACCTCTGCCTCCCGGGTTCAAGCGATTCTCCTCCCTCAGTCTCCCGAGTATCTGAGATTACAGGTACCTGCCACCACGCCTGGCTAATTTTTTGTATTTTTAGTAGTGACAAGGTTTCACTATGTTGGCCATGCTGGTCTCGAACCCCCGACCTTGTGATCCACCCGCCTCGGCCTCCCAAAGTGCTGTGATTACAGGCGTGAGCCGTCAAGCCTGGCCTCTGGACTTGCTTTCTTTGGCTTCTCCCTGGGGTCTGAAAAATTGCAGAAAACTCTTAAGCCTAGGCCCAGACTATCTAATTTTAGACCCACAGGGACCAATTATTTCAACAACTTCATCAGACAGACGAGGAACTAGAGGCCCTGGATCTTAAGTGATTTCCTCCAGATCACACAGTAATTTGAGCAGAAGTGGGCAGAAGCTCCAGGTCTCTGAAGCCTTGGGGCCGCAGTGTCAATCCTTGAAGCATGGAAAACATCAGGACATAAGGAGAGGCATGGGAGCAGAGGTCGCTGCCGTTACTGTAGCCTCCCTGGCTCTCAGCAACTGTAGTGCCATTTTGATCATGCCCATCACAGACCGGCCCTGGAGCACCCTGCGGCCCCACTGTCTGCCGAGATGGTCACATTTTGCCAAGCAAGCTCGGGCAGGACGCTTCTGTCCCTCATACTAAGGAGGAGGGGCCACCTTTGTAGCTTCCAAGTCACCTGCCTGCATCCTGCACAATAGCAGCTCTCCTCACCTTTCAGCTTCTCCTCTGTGTCACTGTCAGACTCACTGTTCTCATCTGTCACTAGAAGAAAAGAACAAGGAAGAAAGTTGCAAATGTGAGTTCTTCTCATGTAGGAAACTCTTTCTGTGTGGTAGCACAGATCAAACGTTCTAATTCAGAGGGGGTGTTCTGTTGTCTTTTTTCTTTTTTTTGAGGCGGAGTCTCACTCTGTCACCCAGGTTGCAGCGCAGTGGCGCAATCTTGGCTCACTGCAACCTCCACCTTCCAGGTTCCAGTGATTCTCCCGTCTCAGCCTCCTGAGTAGCTGGGATTACAGGTGTACGCCACTATGCCTCGCTAATTTTTCTATTTTTTAGTAGAGACAGGTTTCGCCATGTTGGCCAGGCTGGTCTCGAACTTCTGACCTCAGGTGATCCGCCTGTCTCAGCCTCCCAAAGTGCTGGGATTATAGGCGTGAGCCACTGCGCCCAGCCTCTTGCTGTCTCTCAATGTATTGCACAAACCACATCTCGTCCAACTCAATGTACTGCCAAATTAATTTGGTTCTAGTTCAGATGGTACTAGATGGTACCTATATCAGATAATACAGCAGAAGGTCCTGGTCCCTTTTGTGGAGGTTAAGCAAGGAAGGTTGTTCCTACAGTCACACCAGGGCCTGTAGTGCTGTGCTGACTTGGTGGTGGGCGAGGACAAGGATGAGGACAAGGATGGGGAGGCAGGGGACATGTCGCCCAGGCTGAGCTCCCTTTGTCCCAAAGACAGTGCAGGACATTTACAAAGCATCAGCTTGTTCCCCTCCTTGGTGAGCCAACCAGAAGAAACAGGAAGCCACTTCTGGAAAGAATCTCTTTTCCGATTCTTGCGGGAGAGGGCTGGTGGTGGGGGTTCTACCTTTTCCTGAGTTGCTCTCCATTGACTGGGACAGCCTCTTCACCCGTTTCTTTCCTCTCCGGACCTCATAAATGGCGTTGATTCGCAATACCAGCTGCCAGACACCAGGAGAAGAACAGCCAGTGTTAGCAGCAGCTCTCTGTGGCGGCTGGGCTTCCCTCACTGCCCCTCTCCTACGACGATG